ACAACAGCTATTTAATAGTATCTTTACCCCTATTAATTGACGAGATGTTAACTAATGAGAAACTTGTCTTTTAATTTGCAGATTGCTTCATTTGGATGCGGAAAAGCCTGCAAAGACCAACTGAGGGAGAAGATTATTTGGGAGAATCTGAACAAGCTAGGATTTAGGTGATAATACTTCCCATCACACTGTTTTATGAGGTAATAAGCCAGCTCCTGAGTGGATAAATGAGGAAACAAAGTTATTACCTCATAAAACTGTGTGGTGGTGCAGTTATCACTACAAACAGCACAGCTACAATCCAGCTGACAAAAATGACATTATTAAGTGGTGAAATCTGACCACCATTGAATGAGTGACATGACATGATTAGCAGGCATTAGGAGGGAGGGGAATAACTGATACCTTCACACATTTGAAGCTATCACAGGGTGGAACTGAATAAACTTGTATTTTAGAGACCTCCTTTATCAGTTGTTTATTTAAATGAAAAAATCTTGCAAGCCTGTGACTAGAAGCAATTTACATTTATTTATTGTTACAACAGCCCCAGGAGCAATAGTATCCCCACTTGGCAGACAAACAAACTGAGGCCCATCTGTGGTACTACTGAAAGACAAAGTGAGCTCTGAAACAAGAAATGCAGTACCAGAGCACCAGATCCACTCCCACATTCTGAATACCTATCATGTTTCTTTGCTCATTTCTAAGCTTTGAGCTTACTACTGTTACCATGGTACTTGTTTGCCAAACCCAGTCACCCCAAAATTACAATCGTATTTTAGTCTCATATTTAGACTTTATAAAGTTGGTTTCCCCACTTCAAAGACTTGTCCATTATCCAGGAAGCCAGACAGGTACCTTCTTAATGAAAACACAGATTCCTACAACACAACACAGCTTTAAGCATATCAGCAAACATAGCAATAATACAGAACGCAAACATGCAAAGATCAAGGCAGTCTAAATGTTGCTTGATCTCATCCCTTCTAATTTTGAATCTCACCCACTATTGCAAACAAGCCAGCTCAGGAATACAATTTAACACCCGAAATGAGAGCCCTCCAGATAAACTAATAGGTGAAAAAGTTAGATCAGATGATACACGGCAAATCAAGGAATCAATTCATCACAATATCAAGGAGGACATCAGACTTCATCAATTTGCTATTACCAGTTGGGAAAAACTTAATGCAACTAACAAGAATACCTGGGAAACTGGTGGCAAGAACCTTTGTTCAGTCATCAAATTGATGCTGTATCCCATCACTTCTCCTCTTGCTAAATTATCTTCAGGTTTTACCCATGACACATTGAGGGAATATGGTGAAAGAGGGAATATTGATGGAGACGGCATAAACACTGGGGCTGAAATAAAGTTAATAGAGCAACACTTAAAACATAAGTGACCAGTGTGTGTAATGCAAGCTTTCTGATTGTAATTATAAAACACCATTCCTGGCAGTCTTATTTTTTTCTTTAACCTTGTGGTCAAGTCTAACTGGAATTTTCACACTTTGATAGTACATAAGAAGTACCTCACCTATCATTGTCGTTTCCTACTCTAGCCATGAATGCAGAATAAAACCCTACTATGCCTTCAAAGAAATACTAATCAACGCTAAAGTCCTAAACCCTGCAGCAGGTAAGAAAGTACATACAAATGTAAAGGTCTTGAAGAAAAACTTCATGCAACCTGGGAAAAAACTGATAAAAGCAAAAAGCGTTCAATACTTCAGCATCTTAAAAGCAATCTTGTTTGCTAGGCCAGTTTGAAATTAACATGTCTCTCACTTCTTACAAAACAGTTCCCCTGTCTTCCATAGTAAATCTGTAAAAGGATTGTTTGCACTGCAGTTAAATCCCCACCTGATTACTCTGTAATAATAGGATACCAACTCATAGCACTTCTGCTATGTACAAACAACTGCACTAATGGACCTCTTCCCAAATACAATTTAACACTTTTATAACATAGAGTATTTAAGAACAGAGAAGCACAAAGACTCATTTTGAAAGGGGAATTAGTTTAGCCTGCTATTTCACAAGAGCAAGTGACTGAGGGCATGATTTCCAAGCTAACAGCAAGTAAAAGCATCAGCAACTGTAGCAGGGATGTTTAATTGCAAAACATATGCTCTAACAGCCTAAAACCAGCCTTAGATTTCTAATGAAAACCTTGACATCAAAACCTGTTCTTTCAAACATGTTGAGTGGCAAGCTCTTTTGAAAACCTCAACAAAAAGGTTATAATAAGAGCCATTATGAACTGGTTAAACTTCGGGGAAAAAACGGTCCTTATTATGACACTTGACCTCCATAGAAGTATACTAAAAGTTTCAAGCACTGTAGTCCTGAAAAGGCAATGTGCTCAAGTTCTTCCAAAAAATTGCTTTATAATCGAAGCCCCAGTTTGGGAAAATTCATTAGAACCTCCTGTCTGAATATATGTACCTTCTTGGCCAACTTTCCTTATTCAAGCCAATTGTTTCTACATTTGTGACAAAATTGACAATCTCCAAATTGTGACAAACCCAACCTTTTTTCATGTTTTCTCCCTTTAAAGAACATATAAATAGCAAGTGGGAAAACAGTCGAGAATTCAAGCACTGCTTGGTAGATTTTGCGACCTTGTAGTAGACCTTTGATTTTCTTAACACAGGGATTATTATCCTCAACAATATGATCTTATGATAAAAACCAGAAGCTTTTTTTTTTTTGCCTAACATGCTAAATTCTGAGATAATCTGACTGATCTTTAGTTTAAAAATGAGATTTGACCCTATTTGAATCATCATTAGACACATTTTATTGAAAAGAAAAGAAGGCAATCTAGTTTAGTTTTTCCTTTTATTTGTATCAAACAAATTCAAACCAAAACTTACCAGCCTCTCCTGTGTGTCCTGATATCCAGTCTGAAGATATGCTACCTGCCATGTTTACTGCTAGCACAGAAAATTCATACTCTGTGAATGGCTCCAGATCAGTGACTGTGGTAGTGGTCTGTGGTGGAGCCAGAGCATTTTCATTAGGAGACTCCACAACCGGTTGAGGACTGAGCCACCCACTGCTTTGAAAAATACGAATTTCAGGAGGAAGAAAGTTCCCAGCTGGCTTTAATTTTTTTCTCATGTAAAGTTCATATCTTATAATTACACCTAGAGAGGAAAAAATGCACATATTTGAACAGTTTCTGGAGTTCCACTAAAATACCAACACCAATAAACTTAAGTTAAGAATCCATTGATCAACATGGGAGAAAACATAGCATTAGAAGTTTTCCTTATCTCTGCTATTTTGATCCAAATGCTCACTTTGGAATTTTTCCATTAAACTGTTTCTTTCCCCTTCCATGTGATACTGGGATTTGAAAACAACTGGCTGGATTAGAGGATGAGTTCTGTTACCATCACCCTCAGAACTTAAAGTTCTGATCAAATGTTAATGAAAATTGCTGCAGGCCTTTGATTTTGAAAGGGATAATTATTGATTTCTTTTTTATAGACAACAGGCAAGGAATTTTTGACTAACAGTTTAACAGAACATACTACTGGATAGGAGATGTGTGCGTGCATTAGTTTTCCATCAGTGTACAGCTATTACGTACACAGGAAGGTCTCACCACTTTGGAAGTAGAAGAAAACAATTTGTATTGTGGTCTGTAAGTGATACATGACATAGGATGGATTGTAGAAGCAGTTTAGCTGTAGGAGTAGACTGTAAGAAAGCTGACTGGAGACTTCCCCAATGGAAATGATGAGACACATAGCCAGGAGATTGTTAACTACCATATAATGTATATATTTGGGACTGTATTCATGCACAGAACTGGAGAGGTTGTTTGAGAGAAACAACTTCTCTCTTTGGCTTTGGAAAGACCAGGAACTCCAGCCACACCAGACATCAAAAGAACTATGAGAATATTGCTTAAATCTGCCTCTGATGGCAATTACATGCATATGTCTACGGAATAAACTATTAAGAGTATATGCTACAGGTTGAGGGACAAGCGTTTACAGCAAATTATCATGACCTGCATGGTAGGAACTGCCCCTCTAAATACATACAGGCGTTCTCATGCGGGCATTCTTCCTGCCTAATCTAGTAATGGCTGGCAAATGAGATGTTTGAAGGAAAGCTGAGCTCCCCATACACAGATGCCCATTCTGTGAGCAGATCAAAATGTTAGTTTTCACATGCACAAATACTTCTGCGTATAAGCGCAAGTTCACAAAACTCCACTGCACATATAATAAAAGATAAAGTGTTTACCAGTAAAATCTGTAGCATTACAAAAGTATCCTACAACAGCTGCGTTCTCAGTTTCAAACCCCTAAAATATTATTACACAAGTTAGACCAGTGACTCTTGGCAATCGCCTAATCCCTAACAAAGTTATACTGGTAATAAAATTAGTTACCACACATGACGGATGGTCTTAAAACCAGACTTCTCTGCTAATTTTTAGAGGGTTTTTTCCATAACTGTTATTTACTCTTTGTCAGGCAATATCACCACATCTGTCTGAACTAGGCAATCTGGCAAATTAGGAAAAAATTAATTTTACTGTAAAGGTTTTGCTATAAATGTGATTTTTGCTGCAGCAGATGCCACTAAGGTTGTGCTGGTTTTGGCTGGGGTAGAGTTCATTTTCGTCATTGTAGCTAGTATGGGGCTGTGGTTTGTTTGGATTTGTGCTGGAAACAGTTGGTAACACAGGGATGTTTTAGTTGTTGCTGAACAGTGCTTACAGAGTAAAGGCCTTTTCTGCCTCTCATGCCACCCCACCAGAGAGCAAGCTGGGGGTGCACAAGGATTTGTGAGGGCAGAGAGCTGGGATAGCTGACCCCAATTGACTCAAGGGATATCTCACACCATATGGCATCACGGTCTGCATATAAAGCTAGGCGAAGGAGGCAGAGGGGACTTCTGAAGTGGTAGTGTTTGTCTTCCCAAGTAACCACTACACATGATGGAGCCCTGATTTCCTGGGTATGGCCAAACACCTGCCTGACCATGGGAAGCGGTGAATGAATTCCTTGGTTTTATTTTGCTTGCACGTGGAGCTTTTGCTGCCTGTTAAACTGTCTCTATCTCAACCCATGGGTCTTCTCACTTTAACCCTTCCGAATCAATCCCCCACCCCACTTGGCGTGGGGGATGAGCGAGCAGCTGGGTGGTGCTTAGTTGCCAGTTGGGGTTAAACATGACAAAGAGCTTCTGGACCCAACACATTCAGTTGGAGTTCAGGACGCCAAATGAACAAAATGCAGACTCTGAGGATCTATCTAGTGGCAGACAGGCAAATTAAGACAATGCCTTACTTCATTCTCAGTTGATGTTGCATGAATAAGGATATTCTAACCAGATTTGAGAAACCGCTGCTTTTTCTTTGCTAAAATCTTTGACTTACAAAAGCAAACACAATGTCTTACCATTTGGTTTCTCAGGTGGTGACCATTCCACAGCCAGTTCTGTAGAGCTGATGGTTTCTACCAGTGGTGGGTGCAGCCCTTCTGGAGGAGCTTGTGCAGTAATTACTGTTAC